AATTACTCTTGGTGAGGGAGTATGTAACTTTTGGATAAAAGCCTTGATATATTTGTCTGATGACGTGTAATTGAACTATATTTCTGTGTCATTGGAATATAGCCTTTCATCATTGTTAGCAATTTTTCAACCAAGGGGAACTTAAAGTCAAACATATCAAGCCATTCTTGAGGTGTTTGAGGTATTTAAATTAATTCAGCATCATCATCATTTGCGAAATGACCCTCAAAATCTACAAGCATCTTAATGTTCTTCTCACGTAGCGAGTATGACGTTATAGATGTATAACTAATTTAACTTACTGGTATGGGTTTTGATCGTGACGAAGTTGGGATAAGGGATTCATGATAAAGATTGACAAACTAAAGCCATACGGATTGTAACATGAGGAAAAGAAAATTTGTTTACATTGTAAAATGGGCGTTTGACTATTGGAACATTATTGAATCACAATTGGCTTTCTTTAAATTTGATTCATTAAAAATAACAATGGGGTGGACTTGGGTTTAACTAAATTATAAAGTTTTGGACTACTGTGAGTTCTGATCGACTAATGTGCTCTGTACAAAGTTCTATCATAAATTTCATTCTGCGTGGATTAAAAAATTCAGACATGTGGCCGTCCTTTTCTTTTTTTTCCTCGTGTTAGTAAATCGTTTGAAGATGATTTCCCTCTATGATTATACACTATCTTCCCTTTGTAAATTCATTCTAATGTGGTTCACATCTCTGTTTTGTTTCGTTTCGTATAACTAGACTAATATCTAAGAGGACAATCGCATAAGGGTTCATGAGACAAGGAAACGGCGGTTTTAATTTCATTGTTGGATTTCAAAGCTTACATACTTTTAAAAAAAAAAGTTTCATAAAGATTAGATATTTATAATGTAACTAGGTTAATTCCCGTGCGTTGCACGGAGTGAAAGTAAATGGTCTCATATTATATATAGATAATGGTGCGGCAAATAAAAAAATAGTTATAATAGTAAAAGTAAAAGAAAAGTGTACACATAAATAAAGAGTAAAAACTTCAAGAAATATATATGTTGATAGAGCAATTTACAATTGTTCAAAACATTATTTTTTAAAAACTAAAACCAGAGATAGAAAGAGGGAATCAAAATAAATAGATATTGACGTTTTCCTTCGAATTCAGCTATAAATGGTTTCGTTAATGGTTTAGAAATTATTATAGAAATATGATATGTTTTTGGACTGCAATTAGTTTTTTTTTTTCAGTTCGTTTTATTCTACACGAAATTTCTATTTCTTATGCATAATAAAAATAATCATTCCATTTAAATTCTAATGGAATGAGTGGTTTTTTTCTCGTCCAATGAGTGGTTTGTTGTGAGTCTTGTGACAGTACATTATAGTACTACTACAGCATCTCTACTCTTTAGTAAAATCATAGTTATTCTCTGTGACGTGAAAATTCCTAGGCCATTAGGGATTATTCCAAGTCATGATAATCACTACATTATTATGGTTTTACATGACTTGAATATCACCAAAATGGTTCATTTGGTAAGTGTTGATATCAAAGATAATGGGAAATTGAAACTAAAGTTTATCCGTGCGTCAGACAACTCATCAAGCAGCAAAGAAAGTCGACAACAAGCATAGGGAGTTTGTTAAGCGTCGCGTCGGGCGACATCAAAGTCGAAAGTGTGGTGTCGAGTATCTCGTCGAGTTCCTACAGCAGATAACAAAGTCGACGGCAGAATTTCTAATTTTTGGAAATTTTCCATTTTAATTTGGTTTTACTTTTAATTAGTTTCCTTTTTATATATTTTCAACCAAAACAGATTAAAATAAGTAATTTTTTGTCTTTTAATAAATATTAAATAATTGTGACATGTACAATTATTTAATTAGCAGATATTTTCTTTTTTAGAAAACTTATAGTCTAAGAAATATAGTTAGAGTTCTAATAGGATTGGTACTCTGTTGGCCGACTTATAGCCCTATAAAAGGGGGGTCTTGGCCGTCATTTTCAGCATTTTTTTTTGAGAATTATTATTCAATACAAACTTGTGAGGAAAACTCCTTGTTTTCTGACCTTTTGAGGGTATTTTGGCTTGTGCAAGATTAGGATTTTGCATTAGTAAAAAACGTGTTTTTGAGTTGCGTGTTTCTCAAATAGTGGAGCTTTGTATGTTGTTTTGTAGAACATTATCAAACGTTTTCGTCATAAGTATTAAGACGAGGGTTATTTGAAGTGTATCTAAGGGGTTACAAATCGAAACACTTCTCCATTTCTTTCTTTCCATCATATTCTTTTTTGTTTCAGATTTTTGTGGTCCGATTCTTCCTTTTGGACATGGGTTAAGGCTGGTTTTGTTGCAAGAATTCAAGTCTTGAAGTTTGTTTGCGCGTACTAGATAATTTTCATATCAATTTGTCCTCAGAGCCAGGTTCATTCATTTCTTGTGTTTTAGATTTAATTAATCAAGGCTCATCTTTGGTTATTTATCCTTGTATTCTTTTGTGCCTTTTCATTAAAATCTCGCATGTTTTTTTTTTTTTCCTTTGTGATTCGGCCATAGTTTAGTCATTGGAAAAAAAAATTTTTGGCTTAATTTGGTGTTGTTTTGAGTTCGGCCGTGGAGTGGAAATAAGAGAGCAATCTGTTTGGGCAGTTCTCTCTATTGTGCTTTGGCAGGAAATTTTTTTTTTTTTTTTTGTACTGCTTGTTTGCTTGTTTAATTCGGCAGTATAGGAAGGAGAAAAAAATTGAGGTGCTTGTTTGGTAAACTTAGGAGGTGATTATTTGGTTGGAAGTTTGTTGTTTTCGTTTGATTTTCACGTGGGTAAACAACAAGTAACTTGCTGATTAAGGTGCTTGTTTGGTGTTTGGTTTGGTGATTTTGGCCACGGAAAATTAGAGGCAGCAGGTTGTTTGAAAAAAAAGTACTAAAAAAAGAAAGAGAGAAGTACGTATTTGTTGTTTTGGAGTTAGTTTGTAGATTAGGATTTTCGAAATATCATAAACCCTAGAAAGCTTAGGTCTGGCCTAGAATTAGGATTTCAAAAATATATTGCCTAGTTCAAATATTTTCTTATAATTCGCTCCACAATTTGATCCTTTCTTTACGTGATTTCTTTTCATATTTGTGAGATCAATTATCTATTTTGTGTTCTTCACAGATTCGTTACAAATATTTAGGATGTCTTATCATAGTATCTTGTTCTCGCATGTTACTAGTGTAGATCATGTTAGTAATCTCATTGCACAAAGGTTTTTTTCTTTTCTTTTATTTTTTAGCTAAAACCAGGACTGTTCCTAGTAAATTTATAAATATAGCAAATATTTTTCAGAGCAATGCTTAAGACTTACTCTGTACAAGTGAGAAACCATCACAAAATGACGGTAATTTTAATATTAGTAGAATATACTAATATTTCAAAAGAAAACCTTATCGGGAATATTCTAATTTTTATAATATTTGTATGAGTCTCGGTACCGTGGTAAACTAAGAGTGAATTTTTCCCTTTTTAATATATTCTAGATCTATATGAGAGTTATTGGGTGAGTGTTAGTTTAGTTGAGAAGGGGTTTACATTAAGGGAGTGAGTTCTTCGAAATCTTTCTCTTCTGTGTGTGTGGGATCCATAGATACATGAAGCCATGGTGAACAAAGAAGAAATACTTTCTTCGGCGGATGTGTCAAAAATCTTGGCAGCTTGACGTAACTATCCATAAAAATGGACCAACAAAATGAAGATCTTTATCAAATTGTAGGAATGTTGTTCAGGGAGGGAATCGCATGGATAGTGCTTGCCTTGGACAAAGGAAGGTACAATATGATCATGGTATCGATGGTGGTTTCCAAAGGAGTACTTGTTACCAAGAAGATGATTATCAAGAAAGAGAAAGGATAAGAAGAATATGATATTATGAGTCGATTGAAAAATATCATACACAAGAACATTAAGGTCCCTTCATACTAAGCCAAGAAGCTATTACCAAGACAATGATGATTAAAGAAAGAACAAGACTTTGTCTAGCTGAGCAAAAGAGAATTGAAGAAGAAAAAGCTAAAGAAGTTCAATGACAGTTGAATGCAAGTCTCGAATATATGAAATTGTTGGTGCTTGAAGAGCAAAAACAAGCTCGAGCTAGAGCTATTGAATTACAAAGGCTTGAAGAGTTGCAACGTGCAAAAGAAAAAGAATTTGAATTACAAAGGTTTGAGGAGTTGCAACGTGCAAAAGAAAAAGAGCTTGAGTTACAAAGGCTTGAAGTTGAAGACGAGAAGCAAGAAATGAAGAATGGGTATGAATTCGAGAATGAGATACAAGATTTGGTGATTGAACAAAATTTTTCTAACCAACTGAATTCTTTCCTTTTTTCTGTTTCTTGTTCACAGCTTGAAGTTATAGAAGAGCCTAAATCAATTCCTATAAAGTATGAAATTCAATCACTTAGAAGATGTTAAAGAAGAAGTATTGCATCCTTAACATTGTTTTAGGAAGTTGAACACATTAACTTTGTGTTTGGTGACGTCATTTCCAAGAGTGAATTGGTTTTCAATCCATTCAACAATTCTGAAGTTTTTGTTGGCCAATGTTCATATGGGAAGAAGCAAAGGAAGTTTTTGAAGAAATAGGCTTAGGGATGCTCTATTAATTGTGAAAGCACACAATCTCAGCAATGTTACTTTGCTAGGCGATTCTTCAATGGCTATACTGGTAGCCGTTGGTGAGGCGGATTATAGTAGTCTTTGTTTACATATTATTTTTGAGATTAGACAATTATTAATAAGAGTTATCTTTTAAGGCTTTATTTGATTCCACATTTTGAAAATGGAGTAACACATGTTATTGTTACCCATGCAAAATCTCGTATCTCAAATGTTGTAACTTGGGCTTCGCCGCCAAGTTTTTAAGCTAGATAGAGCTGATTATTTTTCAGCAAGAAAAGGGGAAGGGGCGCGCGTGTAAATACCCTCGTTGGTACTACTCTTTTTTTTTTTTTTTTGCGTGGTTTGCGTAATGGGCTTCTGAGCCCAATTTCTTATTACAACTTATGTTTCTTCTTCCTCCTCTCCATCCCGATCTCCATGGCTGATTGGATTTTCTTCAGCTTTTCTGAGATCTGCATAGCTTCTCCATCATCATCACTTAAATTCTTGAAAAACCACTGGTTCAGAGACACAAGAACCCTCTAATTCTAACTTTTTCGAACTGTCCTCGCATCATCCAAGCAATCCCAAAATCCTAATTGAATGGAATCCGTAGTCACCAGTTAACTATATCAAACTGAATTTGGCGGCCATTATTATGAAAATGTCTTCTTTCCTGCACCAAAGGCCACTTCACAATGTCTTGACCGACCCATATGAATCATCATCCCCGAAATCTTCCCAAAATCACCAACGACCCATCATCACCTTCCTATTCAACCGAACTTCCCTTTTCCTGTTCCTCACTCTGCTCATAGTTTTTGGCATTCTTTCCCCATCAATTCGAACCCCTTTACAAGGCCTTGTGTTTTTCAATAACAACAGTAATGATAAAGTGTTTGAAACCAAGTGGGCCGGGTACACACTTGCTGAAGCTACCTCGTTTGTTGCAAAGAATCGCACCTTGATTGTGTGTGCCGTGAGTGAGCCTTACTTGCCTTTCTTAAACAACTGGCTGATCAGTATTTCGAGGCAAAAGCACCACGCCAAGGTGTTGGTGATTGCTGAGGATTACGCTACTTTGTTTAAGGTTAATCGTAAATGGCCTGGTCATGCTGTGCTCATACCTCCAGCTTTGGATTCTCAGTCTGCTCACAAGTTTGGTTCGCAGGTATTTGAACTGATGAATTGATCCAATTCCTCTGCTTTGATACTACTTTGATTTTTTATTTTTTTTTGTTGTTTGAAGTTCCTTTCTCTTCGGATTGAGTTTAGGATTGTTTAGGACTGTCTATTTTGGATAATAAAAAGGATATTTGTTGGTGTTGAGATGGAAAGAACATTATCGTTAAATTGCCACTCTGTAATTTGGAAATTATTGAAAATGGTGTGTTCCTGAGTGAGATTGAGAAATCTTAGCAGTAGGTCTTAACTCATACATACCAAAGCATAGTCAGTGTGCCTTTCTATGGATTTGAAATAAGATCTGATGTCAGGAAGGAAAACTGAGGTGATGTTGTTCTTAAATATATGTTCATTTAAGTGATGTCATTCTTAAACACATGTTCATTCAACTGCAATGATAGGAACCGACTTTTGTGTCTCAGTATAATTGTCATTTTCTGACTGCCATCTGTACCTAACTAAACATTATGAATCTTTACTTCGTTTGCATGTGTTTCTTTGGATGGATGAGACGATTCAACGTTTTTGCAGTATGTTCTATAGAGTCCAAATCATTCTATTAGGATGAAGATGAAACTGTTCTTTGATGGTTTATGGAATATCCAAAATGACTTCAGAGCTATTTATAGTTGGAGCTAGTTTACCTTCATGGCTGAGGTTATGTGATGTTTTACTAGTGTGATTAATTCAAACTTCAGGATCTTGTAATTTTTGTATGTGATTTCAAGTGGCATATTTTGTTTCTCTTGTTGGTTTGCGAGACCTAAGTTGCTGGCCGTTATGATGTCTTCAAAAGCTGAGTTTGTGTTGAAACTGTAATCGTACTGAAACTCATATTTTGTGTTGTTTCAAGTTGAATCAACATAATAAAAAAATCAAAGACATGGTAGCTGGTTTCAGTTCTGAGCTTCTGATGACTAACTAATGCTGTACTTGAAGACATTGCATTTTCTTACGCCTTTCCACATATGTTTAGTTATGTTGATTGGTAAGGCTTAGTCAAATTTTATGATATGGTAGCTCTGGATTGTAAACATATGAATACAGGTTTTGTTTAAATGGACTAGTAAATCTTCTAAGTCCACTTCTTGTTACTACATTGACACGTCTTTTGAATTTATGTGCTAGTGAGGTTAATAGTTGTGCAGTTGTTAAGGTGGAACAGTTCGCTGCGCTATTACAATTCATTTTGATTAACCATGAGATCACTTATTTTACAGGGTTTTTTTAATTTCACATCCAGAAGACCACGACATCTTCTACAAATTTTGGAGCTTGGTTATAATGTTATGTACAATGACGTTGACATGGTCTGGTTAGCAGATCCATTTCCTTATCTACAAGGAGAGCATGATGTGTATTTCACAGATGACATGGCTGCTGTAAGTATGGATAATCTGGCTTTATATACCTTTGTTCATTTTAGCCATGGTAACAATTGATCCGCTCGGCATAACGTTTTCATTAATTCATAGAACTTCTATTGTTTATCTTGGCACATTATCGGTAGCCTTGCAGCTGTTGATGTTTGCATGGCTTTCCCCTGCTCTGGGTTTGACTAATAATGATGGTATTACTTCTTATTCCTTTACTATTTCTTTTTTGTCCAGGTGAAACCACTGAACCATTCTCATGATTTGCCGCCTCCAGGGAAAAAGGGCCGTACTTACATTTGCAGCTGCATGATTTATCTACGGCCTACTGATGGAGCAAAACTAGTCATGAAAAAGTGGACTGAAGAACTTCAGGCTCAGCCATGGTCCAAAGCAAAAAAAGCCAATGACCAGCCTGCTTTTAACTGGGCTCTGAACAAAACTGCTGGACAGGTGTGCATTTTTGGCATTTATCTTGTATTTCTCCAATTTCGTCTCATTTATGAGACACCTATTATGCATCAAAGAAAATAATGACTACTCGTAATCATGATCTATCCCACTACAGTACTGCTGGAAAAGCTGTATAGGTATTGAGTCATTCTTCAATCATCATCATAATGGTTCTTGTTTCTGATCCATGTGGTTTCTAGGAATATATCGACCTGAATCTATTCCAAAAGGCAGGATGTTAGAATTTTGTCTGGTGCAACCATGACTTGGCAGTTAAAGTTGTTTATGCCATCTTAGTCCCTTTCAGTTATAAGATGGAAACACTTCTGTTTATCGGAATCTCTTGCTTCTTTTGAACCAAAATCTTGATAGCCTTTAGGAAAAGAAAGCCATTCACTTACATCAATGTGGTTCTGTACTATTTGGCTTTTCTACTCTGAAGTTTTTTCATATTTAGAAGATGCAAGTCTGATAGTACCATCTTCAATACTTATCTTGAAAAGCAATTCATCCATGTTTCAAAAACTTTGCAGGTCGACTTGTACTTGCTTTCCCAGGCCGCTTTCCCGACCGGTGGACTATATTTCAAGAACCCGACATGGGTAAAGGAAACTAAAGGAATGCATGTCATTATCCACAACAACTATATCACTGGTTTCGAGAAGAAGATAAAGAGATTTAAGGAATATGGCCTCTGGTTAGTCGATGATTATGCCTCAGAATCCCCCTTGGGAAGATTGTGACATAGATTGGAGAGAACTCGTGCAGTGAGGGTATATCAATTGGTTGGTTACAGTTTGAACAAGGTGAACAGACATAGTTGGAGGAGGATTATAGACATAACGAAGGCCTTAAACGCTTCGATATAGATATATCAATTGGTTGTTCTGATGGTCTTAAACGCTTCGATGCTGAGCTACATTTTTACCATTCTGTATGTAGTAGTAATTTAATTTCCTCTGCATACTGAGATGTTTCAATTCCATTTCACAGAAAATTTGTGGCAAGTTTGTTCTTTTCCTAATCATTATTATCCCCGAAGGAATAACACATTCTTTTCGTGGGTCAGAATCCCCATATTCCACGCCTTAAGAACAACCTGTTCGGGTATTAATTTTGGACATCCAAAATTGCTCCTCTTTAAAAATGTGTTCGGAATCCTGCTTCGTTCTCGCCGCCGGCCATTTATCATTATCACCTTCGTTTTCTCCTGTATTCAAAAATTATTTTTGTTCGTTCCTCTTTCTTTTTCTTCAACCACGTTTTCCATCTATTTGAGAGACCAAACAAAATAATAATAATAATAAAAACAGAGAAGAAAAATACAGATTTCAGCACGGGTTTTTTTCCTTTTTAGTCTTTTACTATCATCGAAGTCCGATTTGGACTTAAAGCCTGGCGGTTCGAAGTTTTTGACTTGAAGGAAAAAGGAGGTAAACTGAACCACTTATAATTTTTCCCTTGTAATTGGATCAATTAAACCCCTTGTGGTTATTGCCTCTATCATTGGAATTTAGATCAACTAAACCACTGATATTGATGGATTGCCATCCCTTTGTAGTTCTGCTTCCTTCTGTTGATGATTTTCATTGTTGTCCATCCGAAATTCTGGTTTAGATTTCAAGAAACTGTTATGTGGGTTTGTTGCGTGTGAGTTCCAAACATTCTTCACCCAATTCTCCTCTCCTTGCACGAAGAGTGTCATAAGCGGACTTAACCGTTAAGTCCCCTTTTGGGGTATGCTGCCTCATAACCAAATCGCCATCATCATCTATAAAATCTTGGTCATGCATATCAATAAAATTGAAAGCCTCATGTGAAAGAGAATTTTGTAGCAAAGGAAGGATCTCATTCTTGCGCATGAAGAATTCCCTAATGCTCAAGTTTGGATAGGAGGCTGCGGACCTTCATCATCCCAAAGAACTCCTGAAGGAGACCAATTATCAAACCAAAAGGATCTATCCCCTCTCCGAATGATAATTTTGGTGTGTACCCCTGCCCGAGCTTCAAGATTTTTTATCCGGTTCCAAGACGTTTTCTTCTATTCGGTCAAGGACAAGGAATTGATAAACTCACTCCAAATACCATTCCTATGCTTCAACTTCCACCATAACTTAACCGTTAGAGCATCTATGAATCCCTGGAAGCTAAAAACTCCCAATCCATTTTCAGAAACCGGATTAGACATCCTTTCCCAAGATCTCCAATGCCTTCTATTCTCATCATTCATTCCACTCCAAAAAAATCTTTGACATCTTCTTTTAATATACCGGATAATAGATTTTGGAGGTGGTATTGCTGAAAATACAAGTACCGGAATTGAAGCCAATACTGGTTTAATAAGCACTAACCTTCCTCCTTGATTGAGCATCTTGTTCTTCCAACTTAGCAATCTCTTATCAATGCTGTCTAAAAGAAATTGGAAAGTTGATGCCTTCCTTTTTTCCATAATAAAGCCGGCAACCAAGATAAACAAAAGGAAAGTCCCTTTCGGAATTCCAAGCGTCCTTTGCACAATAGAAACCCTTCTTGGATCACATCTATCCGAGACCATAAAGATACTCTTCTGCCGATTTATTTTCTGCCCGGATGCACTTTCATAGTCATTGAAAAAGCCATTAAGGTGCTGCAAAGATCTTTTTAATCCTCTTGAAAATATAATCACATCATCGGAAAAAGTTAGATGAGAAACCCTCAAAGAACCTGCCGGAGTACAAAAATCAGCAACCCTTCCTTTCGCAACCAAAGCTTTTAGTCTTCTTGTCATTGCCTCAGAGCAAATAATGAATAAGTATGGGGATAAGGGATCACCTTGCTCGATACCTCTTGTGGATTTGAAGAAACCAACCGGAGAACCGTTGATCATAATAGAAAACCATGCGCTACGCAAGTTACTCATAGCCAAAGAAACAAAATGCATAGGAAACCCGAATTTGAGCAAGAACTTTTCCAAAAACTCCATTTAACACGATCAAATGCTTTCATCATATCCAGCTTCAAGACAAAATTTCCGCCCTTTGTTTTCCTTCCCAAGAATTGACACAAATCTTGTGCCAAAAGTACTTTATCCATAATGTCCCTTCCTTCAAGAAACGTCATTTGCTCTTTCAATATTACCTTAGGCAGCACCCCTTTCAGCCTCTCAATAAGGATTTTGGTAAAAATTTTATTCAAAAAATTGCAAAGGCTGATTGGCCTATAGTCCGCAAAATTTGTCACCGCAGCCTTTTTTGGAATCAAAGTGATCAACGTACTTGTGATTGACCTTGGCATGGGAACTCCTAACATGAACTCTTGACAAGCAATCCATAAGTCATTAGCAATTATTTCCCTGCAACTTTGATAAAAAGATCCTCGAAATCAACCAACACCCGGTGCACTATCATCACTTAAGCTAAAGACCGCCTTTTTAACTTCGTTAAGCAGTTAGGGTCCCAACAAGGAAACGGCATCATTACCATCAAGTTGCTGCGGGATGTGGTCTATAAAAATGCTTTGCCTCACTTCAAATCGCGGATCAATGTCATCTTCACTAAGGAGATTTTGGAAAAAAACTTATTGCCTCATCTTCAATTTCCGCCGGATTAACCAAAACCCTTCCATCAGCAGCATGTATTTTAAAAATGCTTTGCCTTATCCTCCTCTCTTTCAAGGCAACATGGAAAAAGGAGGTGTTAGAATCCCCCTCCTTCATCCACTTTAATTTCATTTTTTGGGACCAATAATCTGCATGCTCTTTCAACCGCCTTAGCAACTTGTAAATTCATTCTATCTTGAAGAGCCCCTGAAAAATCATAAAGGGTTTCCAACTCTTGGACTTTGTCTTCCGCCAGTCGCAAGTTGCCAAAAACATCACCAAAAACTTCTTTATTCCACTTTTTCAATTTAGCTTTCAAGCGCTTGAGTTTCAAGGAGAATCCCAACATGCCATAGCATTCCATAGGTAAACTCCAATTTTCTTGCACCAAACTCATGAATTTAGACCTTCGCAGCCACATCTTTTGAAACCGAAAAACCTTTGGTCTACTAACAATCGGAAAGTTGAAAAGGTGTAGCATCGAGCAATGATCGGAGGTGGTTCTATTCAGGGTTTCTAGCGATGCATTTGGAAACAAATCATGCCATTCCTGCAAAATGAGAACCCTATCAAGTTTCTTGCTAACCAAGCCGGTTTGTCTTCTACCCCCCATGTAAATTCCTCACCAATCGCCGGTAATTCCATCAAAGAACTTCTCTGTATGTAATCATTAAAATCAGTCATGGCTTGTGGATCTAGAACCAATTGCCCCGAATACTCTTCCAAGGTGCGAATGACATTAAAGTCATCACCTATCTACCAAGGTGCATCCAGATGGTTCTGCCTGAAATCAACCATGTCTTGCCGTAAAACCTGTCTACCTCTCCTTGTGGAATTGGCATAAACCGCTAAAAGGAGGAAAGTGCTTGGAACTGAAATATGATCTGCCTTGAAGTGAAGAACCTGCCCATTATCTCTCAACAGTGTTAGTGTAATACTAGATTTACCAAAAAAACCCATATTTTGCTAGTACCCGAAGCAAAAGCAACATCAAAACCAAGCTCTCTTTTAATCCCTTCAATTTGATCATCCGCTAGCATAGGTTTCATAATAAAAAGAAGCTCCACCTTATGCATTTGATTGAAGTGAAGAACCTGCCCATTATCTCCCAACAGTGTTAGAGTAATACTAGATTTACAAAAAAAACCCATATTTTGCTAGTACCCGAAGTAAAAGCAACATCAAAACCAAGCTCCCTTTTAATCCCTTCAAGTTGATCACCCGCTAGCATAGGTTCCATCATAAAAAGAAGCTCCACCTTATGCATTTGATTGAAGTGAGGAACCTACCCATTATCTCCCAACAGTGTTAGAGTAATACTAGATTTACAAAAAAAACCCCCATATTTTGCTAGTACCCGAAGTAAAAGCAACATCAAAACCAAGCTCCCTTTTAATCCCTTCAATTTGATCACCCGCTAGCATAGGTTCCATAATAAAAAGAAGCTCCACCTTATGCATTTGAATCAAAGCTTTCAAACGCTGTTGCGACGCTTGATTCCTTATTTCACGAATATTCCAGATTAAATGACTAATCATAGAAAAATTAAGAAAAAATAATCTACTGTAACCTAGGTGATCGCTAAAGGACCACCCCTTTACGTAACTCCATCATCTGAGCTTTGGTTTTGCAATTCTGAAACTTCCTCTTGCATCGTTTCATCATCGCGAATGTTGTCGACATCACTCTCAGACCAGCATGAATGATCCCCATCAATTATTTCCAGCATCTCAAATCGTTTCCCCACTTCTGCATCATCAGAAAACTTTCCCACATTCAACAGAGTGTCCGCTACCAAGCCTCTGCATAGCCTGACGTTCCTCATCCAATCGCAGAGTTTCAGAAAGTACTACAACAAAAATGAGTAGTTTAGACACTTTTTTGTGTCTCAATAAGTAGTGTAATAGGACACATGTGATTCACATTGCGTGGGACACTACAAACTAGTGTCTCCTATAATCGAGTCACAATAAGTCATAAAACATTTGAAAGTGTATTATTAGATTGTCACTTATTAAGATACTTTAAAGTGACCCATTAAGTAGGGTAATGGTTCACAAGCAACCCCACATAGTACACTTATGATAGTGTTTCATATCCATACACTTTTTCATTTTTAATAAGACACTTTTTAGCAAATGTCCTAATACACATATAATGAGACACATTTTAAGAAAAGTGTCCCACCATAAAGGTATTAATAGCCCATTTTTGTTGTAGTGAAGACTCGCATCCAGTCGCAAGGTTTCAGAATTACTTCCTTCAGTCCCAAGACGTTCGAACATGATTTCATTTTCATCTAGCTGAGGCAGCACTGGAGCAGAGACGACTTCCACATCTTGGTTTTCCACCTCTATTCCGAGATTTCACTGTCCTTCTCCAGAATGGTATCAAGCAAGGCAAATCTGTTTGTCGCAACCACTGGAGGCGCAGGCTGCGAGCTTTGTTGTTGTTGCAGGGCTAGTACTTTTGGCGTCACTGATTTTTCAACCAAGGGCAGTTCTCCTTCTGCTAATTTGGGGGAAGAGCTC